AACTTTGATCACAAATTCTTTTTCTTTCTGCATTCAATTATCGCAAAATATAAGGCACGTGTGGAGACTGTGGCGGCCTCAAATTCTATCACCAAGCCCCGTTATAGTCGAGTGATGATCGTATCAATATTACGCATCATTCAACATCGCAAGGCAAGTGATTCTCATTTCTTTATAATGAGTCACTAAGCACCGCTGGGGCGCGATAATATACTTTCTTTATTTCGTGCTACTGCTTTAAGCCAGACAAGTGATATATATATATAATCGCATCATCCTCTCGTGTCATAGCTTAAAGAAACGCTAGAGATAATCACATCTGCATTACGTGTCACTGAACACCACGGCATTTTATTTATATCATTATTATAGTTATTATTTTGATCGTATTTATTTGTATTACGTTTCAGTAAACCCCGCATGGTAATATTACCTGTAGTCTTACAAATGCAGAGCAGTGTATACGACCATCAAAGCAGATCTTTATTGCTCGACTTTAATTATCTTAGAGCGAAGGTTAAGTGTCGACCTCATCGCGGGGCGGACGGTGCCCCTGGGTACACATCATGGCCTTGAATTTCTCCCATAAGAGCTCCGCGAGTCAAAAATGTGGCAATTCAACACCGAGTTTTAATACCGCCAACGAGCCCATTATTGTAAAAGCCTGAACTGTAAATTTGCGCTTGAGGTGCGATTGAGTAATTGGTATTATATTGTACATGTGTATTGTTTGTATATTGTATGAGCTCATCGTTTTTGATGAGAATTAGGAGGATTGTTCTTATTGCGCAGTGCGATCTTTCAGTAGAGAGAAAAGTAGATATTGGAATAAAATTCGTTCGATGCTCGATCGAGTGGAGATGAGTTGTTTCAGATCGTGGCTAAATTTTTAATAAATTTCAAGAGATGTTAACATAATTTCGATTACTGTTGTTATTTTCGATGATGAGTTGTTACAAAATCAAAATTATAAAAAATTATGATTAGCTTTATTATTAAGATTCATCAATTGATATAACTTGAAGCGACTTTAGGACTGAACAGATGACGAAATAATGTCTCAGAAGAAAAAAAGGATTCGTAGAATGAAATATATTTCAAATTGTATTATATATTTTTAGAATACAAGCTAATTAGACTACAACTTTGCGTTACCTTCGCCAAGGATTATGAGAAACTCCACAACTAAATGCAAAGAAATATATATAGATGATTTTTCAAAATAGGAATGAAAATAATGCACCCATACACTTTGATTTCACCTTAATTGCCAACTGACAATAGAATACAAACCAAACATATTCAAATTCCTGAAATTATTTTAGAAACACCAATAACAAAAACCTGGCGGAAAACTGATTGGAATTGAATAGCCAAACAAGGGCGTGAAAAAGCGAAGGAAGCTCGTCAGGATCCCGGGGTCTTTTCCTATTCGGTTTTGTGCTCCATGAATTGTCAAATTCTGTGGTCAGAAACTTCAGCTGACATTTTCTTCTGGACTGAAAATCGGATAATAATAAGCTGGAGATATTTAAGTTTTAGGCCATAAAGTCTATCATATGGCTGGGGTACCCACAACTGCAAAGCGGCGGTGGAGACACCAAACACAGAATCTTCTGCGCCGGACACGAAGATAGAAAATTACATTCTGCAGAAAATTTATGTTCATCAAAAATGAAATTACATTGTTGCAAATTAAAGAGGCTGTTTCACATGCCGAAAATAAGTTCATAACAGCGTTGAATTCAGCTACAAAATAAATCGATTTGATGCTATTGATTTTGAAAAAAACAGCGTTCACAATAAAATTAACCAATACCATGAGCATTTCTGACAGGCTCAAAATTAATGTAAGATTTCAGAGACCTCACAAAAATAAAAATGAGGAGATTCCTGAAAAGAAGTGCACAAATATTAAAACCGACACACCCACTAGGACATAACTATATATGAAGGTTTTAACTCCATAACTTTTTTGGTAACATAACACGAGGTCAAAACTTTTGTACTGTCGCCAAAGAATGCTGAAAAAGGGGTCTAATCTTTCCTTTGTTAGGATCGAGATTAAATTAATACTCTTAAGTGCTCATCGGCTCAACAAAGCAATGGTTCTTTGTGGCCTGACAAGCATAGAAACGGGAACTTTAGGTGAACTGAGGAAACTCTTGTATCAAGATTCCGTGGCCTGTAGGCTAGTGGACAGATCTATTAGCTCGCTTTTGCATTCTCGGTTTAGCCGACAAAAAGAAATTGGAGCGATGCTGGAACAGCAAGAAAAAATTAGGTTAACGATAGGGAAGAATACAATAACAATATTCAAAATCTGCATGACAATAGCTGAGTGCAGCATTGGTTAATATCTTTGGCTTAACATTCATCGGAGCATCCGTAACTGTCAATTGTTGGCGATGACAATCGTACTAGCCGAACGAACAAGCACTTTATTGGGAGGCAATTAAGTACCTCGAGATCGTATGACATCCATGCAGAAAAAATCGTACGTATTGAAATGTTCGATGACCAAATTCCTCTCAATAACAAGTATTCGTACTTCTGTTTCGCAGAAGACAAGCGGTAAGAACAACTAAATGTGGATGCTCGAATATATAAAATGAAACGAAATTTAATGTAAACACGACGGAAAAAAAAAAGATCCACATCACACACACACGTAGAATCTTCATTTGGTTCACAATTTCACATACAAACATCGGCGACAAAAGTCACGCGCACACACGTCCAACACACTTCACTAATTAAGACGCTATGCATGTACACGCCACGCACACGTAAGTCTTGGGAGTTTTTCTAAACCGGAAACCTAGTCTGGTATCCGGTGATAGTTTTCACTTGCATCCCCAGTCTCAGCTAGTTACCAGTCTTAGTGCTTGCAGTGCTGGTGTAGGATGCGTTATAGGTACAGTTAGGGATTATCTGATACTAAAATTTATCGTATACCTTCAGAAAAAAGTCTCTCCGGAAAATGGAAAAAATTGTTTTTTTTTATTTAATGAGGTCATTTTGTAGCTGCGAAAAAAGTCTCGTCTAACCCAGCAAATGGAATATATGTGCATTGTGCATGCCTTAGTTTGTACGTGAGGCAGTTTTTTGCTTGTGAAAAATTTACATTTTCTGACAATCAATACAAATTTTTCTTATAAAATAACTTGTTAGTCGACTATTATTTACTATAAACTTGTCAAAAAAGGAGTCATGTGACACAAGATGGTGTCCTAATTGCGAGTACTAGTCGATGAAGGGAATACATTAACAAATGGTATATTTAGCCTTCTTTTTGAAACTATTTAGGTTTCTATGTTCCCTGAACAAATGAAATTTCCAACTTATTAAGCTATATTTTTCATTATGGAGCAGAAGCATCGAGAGAGACATCATTACAAACAGTATCATTAACCTCGTAATACAAATATCTATCGACTCTAGATACCTTTTTTCAATTATTTTACATATTTTTTATATATTATTATGAAATGTAAGGGTGTCAAGAGAGGTATAAAGTGAGTAAAGAGGAGGGGATATGAGGTGTATGGTTAACGTAAAGCTTCCCCCCCTCAAAAAAAAGTGAAAAAATAAAATGAAAAAATTAACGAAATAAATGAATTTCTAGTGCCGATAGGCATATGATATAAATTTTTTCAGAATTTTAATACTGAAATTGTGCGAGGAGATTCCTTCAAAGGCCCACTTCTTTGGCATTCTTCAAATTTTACGTTTTATTATATAAGTGTACAAAGTTTCAAGAGTGTGTTATGAAGGCTGTTCTTCATCGGGTTCGTTTCAACTGTGGGTCCTTCAAACGTTGAACGTTGAAACGAACGTTTCAACGTTAACGTCCTTCAAACGTTAACGAACAATAGCAATTTGTTTAAATACGAGAAGGAGGCTAAAATTACATTAAAGGAAAACAAAATACATGAAACCGTTTGACATACTAACTGCCAAGTCTAACTGTTCAGCACGAGCTAGAGATCTGTTCTTGTCCTGGAGCCATACTTTCAAAACTCGCTTAGTGAACGTAAGTACTTACGCTCTATTTTCTTGTCTATGTTTGGTGGATTTTGCTTGAAAAGCCGTCAATGATTGGCTGATGAACTTACGATCTCTTAACTTTTTTTGAAAGTATGGGCCCTGGCACGTGACAGCGGTCGCGGCACCTCCATGGATCTGAAAGTGCACACGAGGCTTTCTTCAAGCAAGAACTTCAAACTCGGTAGTCTCGAGATCCGCAACCCAATAAAGGCAGTGTTATTCAACTCAGAACCAAAACATTTAACCCTCTCCCGCCTGACATGAGTACCGGAGCAATATTAAAACACGCCTACTTCCAAAAAAGGATACGTTCTAGTGAGTGTAAAATGACTTGCACTGATGGTTGCCGCTACGTACGACAACTTTAAAATATTCTCTGTTGCGTACAAACATCCTCAGGTTGCTACACTCAATGGTTTACGTGTAATTTAAGTTGAAAGTTATGTTCCTGGGCCCATACTTTCAAAAAAATTAAGAGATCGTAAGTTCATCAGCCAATCATTGATGTCCTTTCAAGCAAAATCCACTAATCATAGACAAGAAAATAGAGCGTAAGTACTTACGTTCACTTAGCGAATTTTAAAAGTATGGCCGCTGGAGATAAACATACGGCGGTAGAGGGTTAAGGGGCGTAGTGACAATAGTCAAAGATGCCTCGAAATGGGTTATTCACAAGAGGACTGCCTGGGAACGACTGGCCTAAGGCACAGACTATCTCTTATATCAGAGATTACCAGTCGATGTCTTCAATAACATTTAATTTACAACCTTACAGAGAGAATAGTTAACCAATAAAGAATATTAAATTAGTTTGTTGGTTTGTTGTAGTTAGATCCTTCACGAAAACTAGCAGTTTTTGGCAACATATTTACGATTATTGGCTAGCCGATGCTTAACGAATTTTGCTGCTCCTTTATCTATTAGTAATCTGGTACTGACACAAAGTCGCGTTACTAAAGAATTAATGTTTTGTGCGTATCTAAATACTAATAAATCTTGGTTTTACTTAAAATGACCCATAATTCTTAATTAGTCTGCCTCGTCCTCATGATTTCAGAGAAGAATTTCAAGGAGAAACCGTGGTCATAAAAAGGATGATGACTTAAAACCAAGTGATTTTTCAGAGCGTGGTCTTTTCTGCAAGTGTTTTTGCAAGAACAAATGGTTGTAAAACAAAAATTTGTGCAATACAGCAAAAGTATTCTAGTGCGCGCTGGTGCATGCAAGTATTCGTGATGTCATACGCACCGATGAGCATCATGTTGGCGATAATCTGTTCGTTAACACTTGCTTATGGCGGCCAGTGCTCAGGTTTTTACCTCGTGCAAAACTATTCTAACCCTGACTACATGCCAGCCGTTAACTCCATATCTCACAATCCGACGTATGTTTGGAGGTTTTCACCTCACCATTACGAAGCTAAACACCCACTCGTCAGTAACGATCGACGCTCATCAATTTCTGACGCGATGATAATCTTTCGTCCTAACCTGAACCGAACAAAAAGAAGCCCACAAGCTCGAACGCGCTCTCAAGCAGCAAGAGAAAGATCAAGAGCTTCTGTCCCGGTCATCGGTCATCAAGAAAGAATGTCTACCTCAATGTCTGTAACTCCTTCACAAGGCTCCCAGATGTCCCTTTCATGCAAGCACTATTCAACAGCCAAATCGAATTCAACTAACAATTGCCTTCCAGCTAATGTTAAAACATTCACTAACGAAACTTATGAAAGCCGTAGTATGAATGTGACCCTCAACGTATTTCCGTTGAACTTGAGCGCACAAATACGGCTTCGTTTGGTCTTTTGTTGCGATGAAAAAGACATGCATCAAGCAAGTAATTTTAACACTGATTTCTCACAATTGGACATCATCAAAACTGAACTGTGGTATGAGCTTATTATTCAAGTTCTAAATATTACATCTACGAATACGCGTGCAAGGAAGACATGGGAGATTTCCTTCTCATCCGGGAATGTGACTTTTAAAATAAAAAGTAATTACTCACTTGGGAAATCATTTAAACAGTGGAATATCAGCATGAGCGGATGCGACGTTCTGTGGTATATAGGACCGCCTGCAATTTGTGACCACTACCCTTCGTCTGCTAACGTGAACGACGAGACGGCAGAACGTCACCAGACAACTGAGACAGAGAGAGGCAAAACGAAAGATGAAACACATGAAGCAAAATACGCGGATGCACCTGGGGACGGTAATATAATAAATAAAGGCGGCGAGAAATATGTTGAACAGGAAAATGCATCTAACCCGACCACGACCAACATACATGCATACAACACTAACAGATCCAATCTTTAATGGGAGGGGTTATGTATTTTAATTTCCTTTTCTATTTCATCAAATGAAATGTTATAATTTTGCAACTATCAAGCTGAGAATACTTAACAGCGAACAAGGAGAAGCCTTGTCGGCTATCATTCGGGAGGCTGAAGCCCCTAAATAAGAACGAATTAATAGCCTTCCTTATGATTCAAACCCATCTAAGTTGTTTGCTCACATCACTATAATACTAAGAGCCTTTTTAAATCTCGCCTAATAAGTTTGTGTTCACATCCAGACCAGACAAACCTCGCTGTCCCTGCTGACGCAGAACAACCCGCCTCTCCTGGAGCGTCTGGGCCGCAGCTGCTCTGGCTGCTGCTGCTGGCCGTCCCGGTGGTGGCCTGCATTGCTGTGATCATAGCAAGGATGAAAAGAAGAGGTAATATTTAAGAGCCGTTAATATATCCAAAAATATCCTACATATCCTACTTACTAATACATACATAATCCCTAAAAAAGTCTACGAGATAAATACTACACAAAAACACTTTTCTGTTTAAAGTCAAAAGATCCAGAGCTCACATCATACAACGATCATAAATAAATTATAATTAATATGTTGGACACTCAATGATCGGAAATCAATTTAACAATTTAAATTGCTATTTTAAAACGAATTATTCAATCTATCAAAATAGCATTAAATTACTTGCGTACAAAGACTTCGAAAGTTTCTCTAATTTCAGAGAAGGAAACTGAGGCGAAAATGTCGAAAGGAATCCGAAATGAGAACATCAGTCCCATTAACGATGACATTCGTGGTCAGACACACCGGACCCAAATCACTCGCCAAATGTCGGTCAACAGTCTGTATGGTCAAATAGCTCCCGACCAGATCCCAAATCGACTGATTTTCAACAGCCATTCTGGTGGGAATAGTCAAACCCAAATCACTCGCCAGATGTCAGTCAACAGCCTCTATGGTCAAGAAGTCCACCACCAAATCGCGAATCGATCGACTATCAACAGCCTTTTTGGCCCTGACGCCCCTCGTTATGTTCGCTTTGACCATCAGAAAAACTCGCGCCAAAATTTGGCGAGTAACATTACTGCCCCAAACAAGTGCATCAACTCTGGCAGGAGTGGACCCGAGGACGAAGCTCATAACGAATTGTATCTTCGGACGAATGGGCCTGTGAACAGTAACATATATGAGAACGACGGAGAAATGTAGATCCTAATATAAAATATACATGAGAAGTTGTTATATACGTATATAGGTACATCAGTCGATATCAAGTAGGATGAGCCAAGCATGATAAACTGAACGTCACAACTATTTCTTTTCTAAATAGGTTTAAGCAGAAATGAAATTATTTCATACAATCGTTCAAATCCAATTTTATTTGTTATTAATTAGTGTATAAATTTTTTTAACAATTGGACAACTAACATATCAAACCGATGTTGTTCAGGATAGATAGACGATACATGAGACTCGAGAACACCGCATTCCTGAATCCCTTTAATGAATTTTAGACCAAAGTATTATAAATTAATGAAACAAGCATTGGAGTTTTGTAGTATCCGGTCGTGAACTAGAAAACTGCAGGAAATAACCCACAACATGGATTGGGCTGAAGAAAACATGTGCAACACAGGAATGCCAGATAGGCCTCTTTCCGGCAAAATTGACAATTTGGGCCTTTTTCAACAGCGTTGACCTGCAAAAACCAATGATGGCCTCAAGTTTATTGATTTTTCACTGTATAAAAAACCCCCTAAAATTTAATTGTTGTGCTTCATATTACAAATTTACTATTAATAAATATTGCATTTAAGCAGATTTTGGCAGTTCTTATGAGTGGATTCAGCAGTTTTGTCTTGCCACCATATGGCAGCCGTGATGCATTATAATTCTCATGGAACTAATATTTATGAATATAAATGAAATTTTACAATCAAAATTTAAAAATTTAATATAATTATTTTGAAATTAATCTGAATATGGATTCTAATTTCATTTTTAAAACAGGGTTTCAACGAAATTTAAATAAATGTAAAGTAAGTCGCGTAAAAGTACTTGCTCGGGTTTGAATATAACCCCAGGCTTATGTGAATAATGTGTATGTATTTATTTTAATTTAGTTTTGTTCATAATTGCATTAATTATGTGTTCTCCAAAAGTCGAAGCGGAAGTGCTTGAGGAGGTAAATGTAGAGGTATCGCCTTCGTGAAGTGGGGAATTCAGTAAGTAATTATGGGGAGGATCTTCTTACCTAATGAGTAGCGGCATGTATTAGAAGTGATAGTGCAGGGGTTAAAATCTTTATAGTACGACAAAACGACCTTAGGACCTTAGACTAAGCGATGTTGTAGATTGTAGAGATAGGATGTGTTAGATAGATCATTTTCTTAAAAAGGTTGGATAGATCATTGAAGCAGGGACTTTAGACTGCCGAGCTGAGTATAGCTACTGCATGTGAGGGTGGGCGTTAGTTAATTAAAGAGGGCTAACTCAAGAGTTAAAACGGTGGCATAAGACTGCGCTCCCTTCTCGATTGCGTCGCTGAGTTTACTTTTCTGATATCCAGTTGCTGCCTGAGTAATAGTCTAACTTACGGCGTGCAACGTTGTGCAGAACTTTTGCGACGCGGACTGTGTAATGAGCTAATGGCAGATTGTTAGGAATGGCCGTAGTAACTACCCGCTCTGGATCGCTGTAGTCCTTCTGTACCGTTCCGAGGCGTTAAGCCGACGGTATTCATGGAGCTAAACCTACAGTTCTACACTAGTCATCACTACACTACATCACTAGTCATTCTACACTAGTCATCACTACCTCTCCGAACTATTCCGATCTTTACGGTTTGCTGCTAGCGCCTTACCAGGATTAAAACATCTGACTACCTCCCAAGCGCGGTCGGCCTTAACAGATGTGGTTGGTTGCTCCAGTTGCGTTGGTGCCCCTGAGAGTGTGGTTATTGTAGCGCCCATTTCACTCCGTTGGTGTATGGCTAGTGCCCCCAGATGAGGTGGTTAGTGCCCCAGATGTGCTCCAATGATTTTGTTCTGGAGTGTGAATCTCTGCCCTGGAGTGGGACTCTCTGCCATGGAGTGTGACTCTCGGCCCTGGAGTGGGACTCTCTGCCCTGGAGTGGGACTCTCTGCCACTGGAGTGGGACTCTCTGCTCTGGAGTGGGACTCTCTGCTCTGGAGTGGGATTCTCTTCTCTGGAGTGGGACTCTCTGCTCTGGAGTGGGACTCTCTGCTCTGGAGTGGGATTCTCTTCTCTGGAGTGGGACTCTGCTCTGTGTAGCGGGGAACCACTAACACGAACTGGTCGTAATCGAAAGTTTACTGTACATTGCGTTGCAAATAAGCTGGGAATATAAGGTACACAATAAAAGAATTTTAAATTAATAAATATTTTAATGGAATAAACCTTGACGAACATAAGTTATTCATAATTAACGCGAATTATCTCTGTACAGGTCAAATAATCTGTCAACTTGTTTTGTAAACTGTAAACTTGACAACAGAGCTTGACAACTACCGCTGACAACTATCGGAAGAAGCCGTACCAATACAACGCAAATATTGCGTCTCTATGGCGTCAACGGTTGAAGTTTCTTGTACTGTCAGGGATATCCGATAAAAAGCTTATCCTTCTGAGTGAGGGGCAACTGGCCTGCGAACGTTCTTGAAGAACATTTTTAATTGCTAGTCAGGCAGATAAATAATAACAATAGATGATGATTTCGGTGGATGGGTTCAGCCAGCAAATTGTTATGAGGTTGTTGGTCGATGTTGAACATATAGTTCCAGACCCAATGGTGATCAGAAAATCTTACTTCGCTAGGATATTGCGCAATACCAACGAAAACAGGAAATCACTCATCCGCTTCACCGAAAAGTCACCACGACGACGCTAAAAGGTATGTTTGATCAGCGATAGCAAGAAGCTAGGGGCGAAAGTATCGCAGTCACAATGAGCGGGGTTAAGTAGAGACAATTAAATATATTGCCTACTCTTTACGTTCACCAGGCTTAATACGATCGTAATCGTTTAGACGAAATGGTGATAACTCAGCCTGGAATCTCTTGCAACCCCTTGCGACTGATGCTCTCATCATTCTCTACTGTGACTCTCGTCTCTCTCTTCTTTTTCAAAAGCTATAAATGTCGGAGCCCCAAACCCCACATAGCTGTAGAACACCACAAAACTTCAGATTTAGCATAAATATGAACCTGATAATTTTGAATTAAACAATTTGATATGAATAATGTAATTGGAATAATTGAATATTAAAAAAATCCTAATAATTTTTCCTTTACCAATTTCGATTAATAAATATTCTTTAGAATTGGAGTCTATGCCATTACAACTCTCCTCCCTGGCGTGTGATTCTCTGCCTTGGAGAAGGACTCTCCTCCCTGGCGTTGTCTCCACCTTGTTGGCACTTGGCCCTGTACTGTGACCATTCTGACGTGAGGACTTCTTGGACGAGCCTGCAGGACTCCCAAAAACTCTTTTCACTTTAAAGCAAAACTCTGGCCACTACAACTAATCGTCCTGTCGTGGGGCCACATTGGACAAATCTTCAGAGGCTCGCATGAAACTTCGAAAGAAAAAAATAGTTTTTACCATTCGCTTCTCACATTTCCCACCAGACGCTGCGTCTTTGGAAGCCCGCATATCGATATCAAACCGAAAAATAAAAAAAAAAATTTACCCAGGCATGAAACTGACCAAAGGTTAATTTTTGCAGGAGGTAATGCACTCACACGAATTCCAAAATAGAAGTTTTTCATACAAATTAGGCATATAAGTGCGATGCCGACGGGTTTTGGTATGCATGTACTAAATTGAACGGTAAAACGGACAATTTCGCTTTATTACTCAAGCCAAACTTTTTAAATTACGCATCTTTAGATATGTAAAAAACACGATTTTTAGTCCAAATAAGCATTAGGTAGCTTTGTCAAAACTTTTCCTACTCCTATGTTAATTGTATTGCCCAAATGCTTGGGCGGACCTATACATAATCCCTTCTGTATTATCATAACCCTTCGTGTACTGACGAGATATCTCTGTCCCAGGCCAGGCAAAAACTGCCTTATGTTCACGGTTCTATATATATAATAGACCTGATGGATGGAGGAAGCGTCTTCAACATAACCTAATTTTCCTTCTACTCAAGAGAAAAGAACCTGACAACGAAGATAAGGAGCTAGAGCTTTAGCTTGATGTGGTTTCTTGGACAAGAGAAGAGATTTAGAATAGCGGCATGCTACGGACATCCTGTAGGAGACGACTGCGTTTTCCTGCAGCCGCAGCCAGCGAGTGCATATCCAGTGTAATGACTGGCCGAGGCCAGAGCGGCCTCTGGTTTGAGCGTGCATGGTTACCACGGGTGATTACAGAAATAGTATTTGTGGCAAGCAAACAGTGTATCAACAATTACATTTATTTTCAATCATTCGTCATATGGACAGTGAGGGACGAATGGAATCATTCGTTGTTATTTTCTGAGGGAGCAATGTGGTACTCATTTTTTAATTCCAATTGGGAACCAAAATGAGCGAACACTATTATCGCTCATGTGGCTTAGTCGTCTTCTTATATCAACTATAACTAGTGAATAAAAATTATCTTGGTATATTATTCGTCTTTGATGGTTCAAAGATCGTGATTCAATTTTTGCCTAAACAATAATTGCGTGTAATATTTATTGATCTTAAAAGTGAGATATTTCGAGACGGGAAATTTTGCAGCTCTCTGAGAAATCTCTGAACTCTACGATTTTGAAGCTCTGATTTCATAATTGCAAGAGTGCCGTTTCAGTTTCTGAGCTAGAATCCAGGATGAGAAGAATAGCAGATCTTACGGCAGTGCTGTTCTTTTTAGTGATTTCATTCACATCTGCTGGAGATGCTTCAGGCTTTCAGCTGTTACGGGGACTGAAAATTAGCCGTACATATTCAAATAATTCCCATTTACTGTCGTCGAAAAGAATGGAAGTCAGTGGTCCCAGCATAAGAGACGTCAACTTTGGCAGTTCAAACAAGCAAGATTTCGAAAAATTGACTATAAGCGATATTATGAAGGCCGCAGTACGCGATGCAGTCCGTGAAAAAGCTTACCGTGATAGTGCACCGAAAATCTCTGGTCCGAGCGAACTTTACTCAGTTAATTCTAAGAAACTCGAACGAGAAGGACAACACAACTGCACATCCCGCTCTTCAAGCCACACTCAGCATGAATTGATGTCTGGAAAAAATCTCACCCTAGCGACAGCAGTCTTCAATGCAAGTCAAACCCTGAAAACAAATTGGTCAATCGTCCGGGATGTGACCTACCCTAACGGGTCTCGCTTTGGCTCGGCCACCAGCCCTAATCAGACCCCAATATCGGCTCATACAAGACCGCACGAGGCGTTAAGTCATCCTAGGAGTCAATTTGGTCACGATCGCCCCAGACGGTCACGGGATTCATGTGATGAACCTGGCTGCCTGCCGCCAGGGAGCGTCGTCAAGTGCAAAAAAGACGATGAAGAACGCATCATAGAAAATCGTCCAGTATTTTTCAACTTATATCGGAACAGAGTAGCGTTTAAAATCCGGGCTACCTTGTGGCTTGCAAATAAAAACATGGATGAAAAAGCATACAAAACAGCAGCCAATCTGAACGACGGAAGTACAATTAAGACAGCAAGTGACTGGAAACGGTTCAAAATTGAGGCTACCACAGATTTTCCAAGTAAAAACTGGACGATTATCTTCACGATTGAAAGCGACAACTTTTCCCGACCGGTTGTAACCAACTACACCATCGACGACTATCGCTTTGGTCAGCTAGTTATCTCTGTTCCGGTGAGAGACGTGCTTTGGTTCGTCGGAGCTGCTCCAAATTGTTCCGCGTTCTCCACACTAAAACCTTTGAAAGAAAGACTGTCTACTACTACAGGTAATATATAGTACGTCATTTCACTCCGTAGACAGATGGGAATTAGGGATGAAAAGTTTTAATTTAAAAATTGTGATTGTGTCTGCATTAACTCACACATTTATTTTAGCCAGTTGCAAATATCTTTAACGTGTAAATAAAATGTTTCAACTTAATGTACTGTTGATTTTATAGCCACATAAATTCAAAATGAGCTACTTCCAAAACTGTTGGTCACTTCGTCTAAGCATCTTTCTTGACAGCTTGTGAGCTTCAGTGACGTTGCCGCTTGACACTTTCCGCCCCTTGTGTAAACCGTGTGGTTTCAAATCGTGTGTGCGTAAAACGTGTGTGTCATGAATGATTTCAGAAATTTCCAATAATTGAGACCGTGCGCCATCCTGGTGATGTCTATTTCAGATTTTTGGCGCAAAAAATCCCAATAGCTAAAGAGCTGGTAAATCACTTTTCTTCACTACTACGGTACTGCTCAAGAGGTCCACTCCACAATTTAAGTATATATATAACTTATTTTTTCACATAAATAAGCTGTTAATATTTGAATGAAATTTTCCCTAATAAGTTTGTATTTACATCCAGACCAGACAAGCCCCACTCTCCGTGTTTACGCAAAACAACCTGCCTCTCCTGGAGCGTCTCGGCCGCAGTTGCTCTGGCTGCTGCTGCTGTTCGTTCCGCTGGTGGCACGTATTGCAGTGATGAAAAGAAAAGGTATTGATTTGCTCTTGTTTCATTATATTAGAATGAGTCTGTAAAGGTATCAATACTGCGATATCGTATTCCACCATGATGTTGAGAAATCATTTAAATATCATTCAATGAATATTGGTACAAACAATTATTAAATTTCACGTTAAATTAATACTGCAATGTTTTGAACACGGAAAAGTCAGCTAGTGTTTTTGGACAATAATATTCTGAAAATTCGCACTTAGTAATTTATTAAGAAAGCAGACGTGCTGAATGTCTTATAAACTTTCAGGACAGGAATCTGCGTTAGACACTTCGATGGGTGTCCAAAATGAGAACATCAGCCCCATTTACGATGACATTTGTGGTCCGATACACCTCACCCAAAAAGTTCGTCAGATGCCCATCAACAGCCTCTGTGGTCAAGTAGCCCCGGACCAAATCAAGAGTCGATCGACTATCAATACCTTTTTAGGCCATGACGCCCGTCGCTTTGAGAACCATCAGCAAAGTTCGCGCCAAAATTTGGCGGGTAACATTACTGCCCCAAACGAGTACATTAACTCTGGCAGGAGTGGACCCGTGGACGAAGCTCATTACGAATTGTATATTCAGGCGAATGAGCTTGTGAACAGCAACATATATGATAACGACGGGGAAATGTAAATCCGTTTATGAATTATAGATTAGAAGTTGTTACACTGGTACGTCAGGCGACATCAAGTAGTGTGAGAAGAGTATGATCAACTGAACGTCATTATTATTGCTTCCCTAGATATGTTTCAGCATGAATAAAATTATTTTATACAATCGTTCAGATCCAATTTCATTTTTCATCCTTTTTCGTTCAAAATTAGTGTATACAATTTTTAACATATGAACCATTAGAATCTCAAGTCGATGTTGTTCAGGAAAATAATCCATGAGACTCGGAGAACACCGCATTCCTGAAGCCGGACAATGAATTTCAGAATTCAGAACACAATTACTGAAAGAAACATTGGCGTTTTTGCAGTATCCAGTCTTGAATAAGAAAACTTTCTGGGATAATCCACAACCTGGCTTGAGTTGACGAGAAGATGTGCAATTATGCAATATAAATCCAATGGAACTAAGGCATAAAAATATTGCTGACTTATGAAAAAAATATTGGTAATGTTTGGCTTATAGATAAAATGCAAATTTATCTAAATCAGGATTTGAATTTCATTTATGAACTCAGGGTTCAACGTTGATGAAATAAATGTAAACCAAGTCGTGTAAAAGTACTTGCTGAGGGTTCAAAAAAAACTCCTGGCTTCTGTGAATTAAGTGTACTTATTTAAAATTTATTTTGTTCTGAATAGCATTAGGTGTGCGTTTTTCACCATTCGAAACGTGAGTGGTTGAAAGGGTAAATGCGGTCTGCGGAAGGTTGGCGCTAATTCGGCGGCCTCCTGCCATAATGAGTTACAGTATGTGTAAGAAATGAGGTAAAGAGGTTAGAATCTTCGAAGTGCGACAAAACGACTTTAGACTATGTGGTGTCGTAGATTGTGGGGGTGGATTGCGCTGATTCAAAGAGATTTGATAGATCAATGAAGACGTTTTTCGGATGCCAAGCTGAGTATAGCTACTGCGCGTGGAAGGGGGTACGCAACCGTGGACCACCAAATTTGTGCACCAATGTGGCAGTTCGACCTTATATATAGGCTGATTCAACACACGGGACAGATACGGACGGCTCCGGCGCGCTCCGTCCGGGTGGTTGTAAATTTTTTTCGCGTATTGGCAGACGACGCTGGGCCATACGACGTCAGGCTATTTTCCTGTGGGCTGATTGATCTAATTCAATGGATGTGATCTGTCTGGTGGCGTGCGGCTGATAATGTCACAGTCAAGAAGTGTTGTAGGCTACGTTCTTCATGGAAGGGATCATGATAATCCATTCGAAGCACGGCAGTGGTGGTCTCCTTAGGCGTCCCGTCGGTTCTGTGCCATACCCTAACCAAGTAAGATTTTCTGATCAGGATTGGATCTGGAACTAACAGTGCAACCTCGACCAACAACCTCATCACAATTTGCTGGCTGAACGCACCCACCTAAATCATCATCTATTGTTAGTTAGTCAATAGTCATCTGCCTGGCTAATAATTACCAATTTCCTTCACTCACGTTCGCAGGCCAGTTAACCATATCCCAGAAGGAAAAGCTTGGAATCGGATATCCCTGACAGTACCAGGAGCTTCAACCAGTGACGTCATAGGGACGCAATATATGTGCGTCATATTGGTACGGCATCCTACGATAGTTGTCTAGCAGTTGTGATGATCTGTTGTCAAGTTTACAGTTTACAATTTAAATTGAGACATTAATTGATCTGTACTGAAGATGATTCGTGTAAACTACGAATAACTTGTTTTTGTGATAGTTCTCCATTAAAATATTAAATTTACAGTTTTTCTCTGTCACAATGCATCACTTGCCAAGTGCAGCGCAATGTACGTAGACTTTCGATTGTGGCCAGTACTTGTTAATGGTTCCCCACAACAGCACTTCGGCAATCGCGGTCAAGATCTGGTAGAGGGTTTAAGTTTTCAATAACTAACGCATTCTTTTTTCTCTGACGATGCTGGACATGAGCTTGAAAACATACTGTACATGGTTATGCCAATAGTAATTTTACTGAACAATGCCAGATTTTAAATAAATAATATGTTATAGGGGTAGTTTCGTGCAAAAACTTGGTACTTAAATAACATGGGAAAAAGAAAGATTTTGATAAAGCTACTTGATGCTACATTAGAATAAAAACCCTGTGGTTCTCATCACAATATCTGAAATTTTTCGTTTTATCGTTCAATTGGGACAGAACAAACGCCTTTGACATCGCTCGTTTATACGTATTTGCTTTAAAAATTTCCTTCTTAAATTCGTGTTAGTGCATTCACTCTTACAAAAATTAAGAGTTGGTCAGTTTCTTGCCTGGCTCGAAATTTTGGAATTGTCAGGTTTAAATTTCGATGTAGAATAGCCCTGTACGTGTTAGCTTCTAAACACAGGGCTTCTAGTGAGAAATGTGAGAAACGGATGATAGGAAAACTAAATTCAGAAGGGCAAACTTAGTGACGAAAACGAGAAAGAAAGAAGGCTTGTGGCACCGATTTATCTCATGCGTCTGCCCAGCATTTATAACGAACAGCCACCTGCCACGGGACGCCTGTTGGAGACCACCACTGCCGGGCTTCGAATGGACTATCATGATCCCTTCCATGAAGAACGTAGCCTACATTTTTTACTTGGTACTTGTTTGGGACATAGGAGTCCAAGGCCACGATGGATCGCCGCCTCTGATTATCGTTCATCCGCCCTCATTTGGGCCACCTGATGCACGACGCTGTTGCTTGCTTCTCGCCGCTGGTAGTGTTGCAGGGGAGGTCGATCTGGGATTGTAATTATATACAATACTACTTGACTGTAACATTATCAGCCGCACGCCACCAGACATATCACATCCATTGAATTAGATCAATCAGCCCACAGGAAAATCGCCTGACGTCGTATGGCCCAGCGCCGTCTGCCAATACACTACGCGAAAAAATTTTACACCACCCGGACGGAGCGCGCCGGAGCCGTCCGTTTCTGTCCCGTGTGTCGAATCAGCCTACGGTCGAACGGTCACGCGTCGTACGACGATAAATTTTGGAACAGAACTATGCTATCTGAAACCAAACCTCAGATGCTGTGAGCTAAAAGTTGCGTAATTTAGCGAAGCTGTGGAAGTCGCTCATCGGAGGACGATAGATTTTGGAACAGAACTATGCTTTCTGAAACCTAACGTCCTAACCCCAATGTTGTGAGCTAAAAGTGACGGTCTGGCGGTGCACGGCAGGATGCATGCAGTTCCACTGGCGACCTGGGCTGGTTGGTCGCAGTCCGTTGTCCGCAAGTTACAGTTCGAGCTAAAGCCAGGGAATGAAGTGATGATTCGATGCAACGTTCAGTGGTGGACAACCATTACTCTCTGGGCTATTCGCTTCAGAGTACGGTGGCGCAAAGCTCCTTATATTTAAAACAAGATGATGTCACGGGCTGGTTACCGACGGATGGCTTAATCCGCGGCTGATTGGTGGTCATCCGGAAATATGCTAGGCGTTCCTTTCAAGGCTGATTGGTGCACAAATTTGGCGGTGCACGGCTGCGCTTTCCAATCACTTTCCTACGACTACTACCTAAGAGGTCTACGCCACGATATAATCATAATATAACTTATTTGTTCATATAAATAAGCTGCCAAGATCAGAATGAAAATTTGCATAATAAGTTTATATTTGCATCCAGACCAGACACAAGCCCTGCTCTCCCTGCTGACGCAGAACAACCTGCCGCTCATGGGGCGCCGGGGCCGCAGCTGCTCCGGCTGCTGCTGCTGGTCGTTCCGCTGATGGCATGCACTGCAGTGATCATCGCAGTGATGAAAAGAAAAGCCCGAAAAGGTATTGATTCGCTTTCGTTTAATTATATTAGAATGAGTCTGAAAAGATATCAATACTGCGATATCGCTTTCCAAGACGATGCTTTAAAAATCATTTTGAATATCCTTTAATATATATATGTATAAACAATTCTTAAATTTTATGTTAAATCAATACTGCAATGTTTTGAACACGGTAAGGTCAGCTAGTGTTTATGGAAATAAATATTTTGACTTTGAAATTCATTAAGAAAGCAGACACGCTGAATGCCTTATAAACTTTCAGGACAGGAATTTGCGTTAAACACATCGAGGGGTGTCCAAAATGAGAACATCAGCCCCAATTACGATGACATTTGTGGTCCGATACACCTCACCCAAAAAACTGGACAGATGCCCATCAACAGCCTCTGTGGTCAAGTAGCCCCGGACCAAATCAAGAGTCGATCGACTATCAACAGATTTCTTGGCAATAGCGCCCGTCGCTTTGATAACCTACAGCAAAGTTCGCGCCAGAATTTTGCGGGTAATATTACTGCCCCAAACGAGTGCATCAACTCTGGCAGGAGTGGGCCCGTGGACGAAGCTCATTACAAATTGTATATTCAGGCGAATGAGCTTGTGAACGCAACATATGAAACGACAGGGAAATGTAGATCCGTTTGTGAATTATACATGAGAAGTTGTTACAATGGTACTTCAGGCGGGGTCGCCTGCCGAAGACCACCACTGCCCTGGATTCCTGCCTTCCGGAACGTAGCCTTCAACACTTCAAGCCGTCCGTATCTAGAGGCCTTGGGTCGAACCAGCCCTCGGTCGAACGACCACTTGTCGAAGGACGATCAATTTTGGAACAGAACTATGCTATCTGAAACCTAACCTCAGATGCGGTGAACGTAAAATTAAGTAATATAACGATGCCTGGAAGTCATATTCGATCCGCGGCCTGGTGGTGCACGGCAGGTGGTGGTCAAGGCCGGAAGAGGACAAAGCCGAGTGGTGCACGGCTGATTGGTGTAGGTCCGGAGAGATCCAAGGCGTTCGATTCAGGGCTTATTGGTGCACAAAATTGGTGGTGCACGGCTGCGCTCCCCTTCAGGCGACATCAAGTAGTATGAGAAGAGTATGATCAACTGAACGTCATTATTATTGCTTCCCGAAATATGTTTCAGCTGAAATGAAATTATTCATACAATCGTTCATATCCAATTTTATTCGTTTATAATTGGCGTATAAATTTTCTAAATATATGAACTATTAGCTGCTCAAACAGATGTTGTTCAGGATAAATGATCCATGAGACTCGAGAACACCGCATTCCTGAAGCCCGTCATTGAATTTCAGACAAAAGTATTATGCATTAGTGAAAGAAGCATTGGAGTTTTTGCAGTATCCGGTCTTGAATACTAAATTTTGAATCATTAGGTAAGCGTTCTTGGCCATTCGAAACACGATTGGTTGAAGGAGTATTTGCGGTCTACGGAAGGTTGGCGCTAATCCGGTGCGGCCTCCTGCCATAATGTGTTACAGTATTTGTAAGAAACATTGGTAAAGGAGTTAAAATCTTCAAAGTGCGACAAAACGGCCTTAGACTTTGCGGTATCGTCAATTGCGGGGATGGATTGTGTCGATTTAAAGAGATTTGATAGATCAATGAAACAGTTTTTCGGCTGCCAAGCTGAGTATAGCTACGCCGTATGGAGGGTGGCCGTTCTTTATACATGCAGGGCCAACTCATGAATTTAAGCGGTGCCACAAGCCTGTTTTCTTTCTCATTTTCGTAACTGAGTTTTCTCCTCTGAACTTAGGTTTGTGTCATCCGTATCTCACATTTCTTACCAGAAGCCCTGTGTTTAGATGCCTACACATTGGTATCAAACCTGAAAATTGCGAAATTTTGACCCAGGCAAGAAACTGACCAACGCGTAATTTTTATGAGAGTGAATGCACTAACAATTTAAGAAGGAAATTTTTTAAAGCAAATTGGGTATAAACGATCAATATCAACGGCTTTATTCTGTCCTCAGTAGGCAGAATAAAGCCAGTAGAACGAAAATTTTTGCATAATTGCTCAAGATAAACTTTAAATTACGCATCTTCGGATATGTGATGAGAACCACATGGTTTTGATTCTGATCTTGCATTAAGTAGTTTTATCATAACCCTTTTTCTCCCATGTTAATTTAGTACTAAGTATTTGCACGGATCTATCCCTAACATCTTATTTATTGTTTTAACGGGGAACTATCAAGAAAATCTGGCATCGTTCAGTAAAATTGCTATTGGCATCAACATGTAGGTTTTTAAGCTAATGTCCGGCATCTTCAATAGAAAAAAAATGCGCTAGTTACTTGAAAACGGGTGGATGGCTAGAGGTCAGCATAGCATAAGTGCGATTCATATACCTTCCCGAGCGTAACGCAGCTGGGCATCTTCACGGCTTTCAAGACAGAGCGCCCACCGCCACAACAGCGCCGTTCAGTTACAGACACTGTTTCACAGCGCCGGAGCACAACTGGCCGGAGAGCAGCAGACCCTATACCTACAACGCCTTACTGCGGCCCTACTCCTAACCTAACCTAACGTTAGGCGTTGTAGGTAGGGCCTGTTGCGCTCCAGCCAGTTGTGCTCCGGCGCTGTGAAGCAGTGGCTGTGTTTTTTTAAAGTTGGTGTGGTGATATGAGTCACTTACACACAGCTCATTGATAAGAGGCTATGTGTAGATATTGCATGCTGATGGTTGGCGTTGGGCCCAGGGCCTGTTTACGAGTAAATTTTGTTATCCACGGCTGCGCTCCCCTTGAAAACTTATATCCTTTACCGGATCTTGACCACGGTTGCCGAAGTTCCTATTTTATTTCTAATTTTTAATTAGGAGAAAAGCAAGGTATCTAAAAACTGGTTTTGCTCACGAATCTAATGCACCTGATGCACGGAGCAAGGATCATCAACACAACATATTTTCATATTATACGAAAAGTGGAAACAATGAATAAGTAAAGAAATAAACGAAGCTAGAGCTTTAGCTTGATAAGACTTCTTGGACAAGCGAACAGATTTAGAGTAGCGGCATCCTGTGAGATACGACAGCGTTTTCCTGCCCGCAGGATGCTGGTGCATATCCAGTGTAATAACTGGTCGAGGGCAGAGTGGCCTCCGGCTTCAGCGGGATGAACATGGGTGATTGTCGAAATGATATTGATGACAGTGTATCAACATTTAAATTTAATCCTGATAATTTGTCATATGGACAGAAAATTTTTGAGGAGCTTTGTAATTGTCGATTTTTAGTTCAAATCGAGAAAAAAAATCGAGAACATTATTATCGCTCGTGTGACCTTGTCGTCTTCTTATATCCACTATGATTAGTGAATAAAAAATTATCTTGGTATTTAATTTCTTTTTGGTGGTTCATAGGTTTTATTTATATTATGCTTGAATAATAATCAAGAGTAATAGTTTATGTATCTTCAAGTCAAGTGCAAAAATTACCTTGGTATTTAATTTCTTTTTGATGGTTCATACGTTGTAATTTATATTATGCTTGAATAATAATCCTAAGTAATATTTCATGTATCATCTAAGTAAAGGATTTCGAGTAGGAAGATTTTGAAGCTCTTTGTGACTGATTTTTCTGATTGTGTGACTTACGCTTCAGTTTTTTAGTTAGAATCCAGGATGAAGAGGATAGCATGCCTTGCGGCAGTGCTGTATTCTCTAGTGATATCATTCATATCTGCTGGAGATGCTTCAAGCTTTAAGCTTCTTCGGAAACTGAAAATTACTCCTTCTAATTTAATTGATTTCCATTTGCCATCACGAGAAAGAATGGAAGTAAGCGGCCCCAACGTCACAAACATCGACTATGGTACTGCAAACGCACACACAGATTTCGACCAATTGATTGATAGCGATGTCCTTGAGGCCGCGGCACCTAAAATAGTCCGTGCAAAAATTCACCATGATAGTGCACCGAAAATCTCTGGTCCTAGTGAACTTTACTCACTTGACGCTGAGAAACTCAAACGAAATGGACGACACATCTGCAATTCCCGCTCTTCAAGCCACGATCCACATGACTTGATGTCGTCGGGAACAAATCTTACCCTAGCGACGGCGATGTTAAATTCAAGTAAGACTCAGAATACAAATTGGTCTATAGCCCGGGGTGTCGCCTACCCTAACGGGTCCCGCTTTGAAGCTGTCACCAGCCCAAATCAGACCCTCGTACCCGCTCATACTAGACATCATCTGGCCATAAGTCGTCGTGGAGTTCCCAGAGGTCAATTTGGTCACGATCGCCCCAGACGGTCGCAGGATTCATGTTATGAACCTGGCTGCCTGCCGCCAGGTAGCGTCGTCAAGTGCAAGAACAGTGATACAGTACCAATCACCAAAAATCTTCCAGTATTTCTTAATGTATTTCCGTTCAAATTACCCTTCAGAATCCGGGTAGACTTGTGGTTTGCTAAAAATGAAAGCATGGATAAAAAAGCAAACAGGACAAGAGCCATCCTCTCTGTTGGAAATACAATTGCAAATGTAATGGGCTGGCATCAGTTCAAAATTGAGGCTACCACACGTTCTACAAGTAAAAACTGGACGATTATCTTCCAGATTGAGAAAGAAAGCTTTCCCCAAGAGACTGTAAGCAACTACACGCTCGACGACAATCAATTTCATCGGCTAGTGATCTCTGTTCCGGTGGGAGACGTACTTTGGTACGTCGGAGCTGCTCCAAATTGTTCCGCATTCTACTCTCCACAACGTGATGGGAAGAAAGACGAACTGTCTACTACTACTACTACTACAGGTAATAAATAGTACGTCATTTCACTCCGAAGACAGAGGAAAATTAAGGCGGAAAAGTTTCAATTTTAAAAGTGCGATTGCGCCTGAAATTAACACACACTTTTATTTTAACCGGTTGCAAATATCTCTAACGTGTAATGTACCGGATGCACGTTTAGGCGCCTCCAGACTTATTATATTTCTACGTGGACCTGATGACAGGGATTCGTGACTAAATTCGTGAGGGATAAGTAAGACACCATCTGTCTAGAGAACTTATCTTGATACGGGGTGTTAATACATGAGTGATACGATACAGGTTAAGCTAAGACGTCGACCATTAGGTCGGAGTAGCCCTAACACTCGTTACATTAATTGCAGCGTGAGTATTTGCACGCTGGGGTTTCCAGCCTATTTATGAACTTCCGTTCACCGGAACTTAGACTGTAACTGTAGACTTTGTACTTACGTTCACCGAATTCTCTATTCTATTCTACATATTCTATGACCTGAGGGTTGGTTCGGTTGTAGCGTGATCAGAGGATATTGTGGAACAGCGTAAACGATTATATAGTATTATTTAGGATAAAAGCCCGGCTTACAGTTTAGGATGAAATATTGCTATAAGCTGGAGCTTTAACACTGATGTCTTAGGCGTTCATTCAAGTAAGGACGAGTCTAGAGTATATCCGATGCAATTCTCTACTCTGATGTTGAGTTAGCTTTACTGTCCTGTGTGACATGGACAGAAGCAATGGGTTACTCCGGCATCGGTTCTCGCCCACGATTGAGGTTTCCGGGTCTTGGCAGAGCTCATATAGACGTGCTAACAAGGTGATAAGTCATTACCGGGTTGGATAAGGGAAGGTTAACACACGGACATGTTAACGGACATATTGCTTTCAAGGAAATTATTTTCTAGCAAAGAAGATGCAAATGAGGAAATATCTAAGGTCGAATGGTATTAAACATCGTCACCTTACAAATCGGTGAAATCGCAACAAATAATAATAGCAATGTAACTGTAAATACATTACATTCTTATAAGAAAACTATTGACTTAATACAAGGTATTGGCATCGTTGCAATCATCGTTCTCAACAACTTGTAAAAAAATTTAGCTTATCGTCTTGGAAAAAATGCGCTCACTTTCTTCCGATTTATCAAGCGTCAGCATTTCGGGGACGTTGAACTCTTTGCACTGCACATGGTCTACCAGGCTCCGACTGCTGGATCTACTCGTGACTGTTACAATAGGCAATTGTTACAGTTTAATCTACTTTTAAACATTAAATCTACCGTTTGAAATCACTTGGATAGCTTAATTCATCAATTCATTACTTTCACAGTTAATGCAATTGAATAAATAATTTGCATTATCCTCTTTGATATGGTGGTAGAAAAATATAGAGTAGAAACATGAAATACTGAATTCAAAATTTCAACAGTCATTAAATCAAAGTTGCGCAGTTGAACATGATATTTTTGTGTAAGCATTGACAGAAATGAATTATTTAGTGTTACTTAGATATTAAAATAACACAGTGATACAGGTCTATTTCGCTATCTATATCAATATTCGTTACGTTTTTAAAACTCTACGTAACAAACGTTCTTAGACTTGCATGTCACGGTACAACTTCGTGAAGCTCTGGGCTCAGTCGGCCTTTGAATTGTTCATAAACATGCTTCCTCATTCATAAACATGTACTCATGATTCGAGTCTAGCTTATTCACTCTTCACGTTAATGTGGTTCTCATTTTATCGGTGAGTATACCAAACAATACTTGTTCACATTTATTTGCTGATTCGTGCAATCTCAATACTGTGCATGTTATTGAAATAATTGTTATTATTTAAAGTTATCGTTCTCTAATGACTGTTGCAGTTTTCGATTTTAATTTCTCCTCCGCAACTTTGCGTACGACGTGAAATTCAATTTATAATGAAGCTCTATTTCGTCATTATCACACATTCATGAGAATCATATATATTTTTACATAACATAGTATCGGTTATACGTCGGTTGCACATTGTAGCGTTAGGTTAGGGTTGGTGTGTAGTGTATAAAACCCTTCTCTGCGCCTGGTGATTATACTACCCTTCTACTTAGATTATAGATATCATGACCGAATATAAAGCGGGTTCATATAATCTCTCATCAAAAATGACCTTGTCTGAACCTTGAACCTTTATATGACCTAATAATAGTGTACATCAATTATACGTCTGGTTAATCGTTTGCTCTGGCATTAATCATAATCAATGTACGCTTTGTCAATACATATATTCTTCAATGCACTTTTTTGTAAATGCATGCATTTGTCTATACATACATTCGTCATTGCACATGTAGGCTCACGTGTAGGCTCAAGTTCTGCGCAATGTACTTTTAAGCGCTATTCTTTGGGATTTAGTCGTTATACATGCGTTCCATAATTGGTTGACTGTCTAAGACATCTTTAATACTCAAAACGAAATTCAGTTTAAATAAAACGGGTATGTAATGAAAACGGTTAAAATTATTTTTAAAATGTAGCTACCTACCGATCGCTCATCGTTATGCTATAAGGGAACATTATTTTGATCAGCATTATTTATTTATTTATGACTACGGATTTAGATTTTATCAGAGTCTTGAAACTCGTATCAGTACACAGCACATTGTAAAACTTAGAGATTCGTTGAAGATACATCACCAAAGAGTTATGTTATGACATGATTACGTAAAATATCACCGAATATGGCGAATACTCTGCTACATCCTCCATAATCAATTCAATATACTGCTATCGCGGTTAACTCACAAAATGGTAAAATTATACGTACTATAATTACGAATCAATTGCTTTGCTTATATTTTGCAAGGCATCCAAGCCACGTATCCGTGGCTCCAGGATTTTTCAGTCGCTCTATTCGACATCTGATAATTTTTATACTGACTTTATCAGGGCGTTTTTCTAGTTGATCCATCTGCTGTTCAACTGATTTAACCAGTCAATTTTGTCTTGTTGATTTGTTTGCTGACTGCCATCTTCAGCCGCTGCCACCGTATGCAATCGATTTTCGCTGCCCATCTCGTCTCACGACTCAACTGTTTTGTATAAATGTTCGTAGTCGCCTTCAGCTGGTGCCGGCCAGTATGTCGTTCTAATAGTCTAAGTCGTCATGCTGCCGTCTCTTCATCAAAGCTTACGGCTTACGAAGGAAAAAGCGCCGATTACGACACAGTTGCTGCGTCGCCACCATTGGATCGTCTACATTTTCTCTCTGTACTCGATAGTCGTATATTCGTACTGGATTCCGAAGAGCGCAAAACGCAATGTGAGGACGCTTCAAATTTGTCTCAGCGTCATTCGTAGGGTCAATAAGAAATTCTTGACGTTGCAGGTAAAATACAAAAACACGCTGGGCAAAGCTTGAATCTTCTCACAGTTTTCAGCTGCTGAAATAGTGTAATTAGTAAATGAAGGCCTTCTTGGATTATCCGTTGATCAGACGTTTAAATGAGTTTAGCATCACAGAAACAATCCGTTGAAAGGCTTTATCGCACCAACAAAATCACTATGAGGCAGTGTTGCTTTAATCACATACATTTTAAAAACCTCTCACTTCATCACCGTATTTAAAGTCTCACAATTATAGTCAAGCAGTCGAGTTTCACTTAAGAAAACACGACTGTTATCACCTCGTTCGAGCGCCACTGTCAAGATTAATCAAACTGTTCTACAAATGTTCGCGGGACAAAGGTTCGCGGCACTATATGACTGGAGAATTTATCTCTTTTTGGTCGGAGTAGCTCCTACGGCCTACGCTATAGTTACATTGCGGCGGGCGTTTTTGCCAGCTTATGGCGGCGGAGGTTTACTAAGGTTTCCAACCCATTTATAGACTCCGTACTTCCGTTCACAGGGTTCTTGTCCTCGTGACACATATGCTGTATAAGCTTTCGACTCAGCATCTGAGGCAAGCTCCCAGTGATACAGAGGAAACAAAGCTAACCAGGTCTGCTGGTAAACACATGAGGATTTGTGTCCATAAACACTCTCGGACAGCAATTAAAATGTTTTAAATTAGTGTACTGTCGATTAAATAGCCACATAATTTCATAATGAACCACTTCCAACCATCGGAAGCTCTCAAGTAATCTTCACGCAAAGAAAAACTGTTGGCCACTTCATCTCTTTTTTTTTCTTGCCAGCTTCAGAGGCGTGGCGCTTGAAACCTTCCGCCCCTTGTGTAAACCGTGTGGTTTCAAACCGTGTGTGCGTAACACCGTAACACGTGTGTGAGATGAATGATTTGAAAAAATTCCAATAATTCAGACCGTTTGCCATCCTGGTGATGTCTATTTCAGATTTTTGGCGTGAAAAAGCCCGATAGCTAAAGAGCTGGTAAATCACTTTTCTACAACTGCTACCTAAGAGGTCTACGCCACGATTTAATCATAATATAACTTATGTGTTCATATAAATAAGCTGCCAAGATCTGAATGAAAATTTGCCTAATAAGTTTGTATTTACATCCAGACCAGACAAGCCCCACTCTCCCTGCTGACGCAGAACAACCCGCCTCTCCTGGAGCGTCTCGGCCGCAGCTGCTTTGGCTGCTGCTGCTGCTGCTCATTCCGCTGATGGCATGCACTGCAGTGATCATCGCAGTGATGAAAAGAAAAGGTATTGATTAGCTCTTGTTTAATTATATTAGAATGAGTCTGTAAAAGATATCAATACTGCGATATCGTATTCCACCACGATGCTTTAAAAATCATTTTAAATATCCTTTCATGTACATAAGTACAAATAATTCTTAAATTTCATGTTAATCAATACTGCAATGTTTTGAACACGGTAAGGTCAGCTAGTGTTTATGGACATAAATATCCTGAGAATTCTGACTTTAAAATTTATCAAGAAAGCAGACACGCTGATTGCCTTATAAACTTTCAGGACAGGAACCTGCGTTGAACACATCGAGGGGTGTCCAAAATGAGAACATCAGCCCCATTTACGATGACATTTGTGGTCCGATACACCTCAACCAAAAAACTGGACAGATGTCCATCGACAGCCTCTGTGGTCAAGTAGCCCCGGACCAAATCAAGAGTCGATCGACTATCATCAGCTTTTTTGACAATAGCGCCCGTCGCTTTGATAACCTACAGCAAACTTCGCGCCAAAATTTGGCGGGTAACATTACTGCCCCAAACGAGTGCATCAACTCTGGCAGGAGTGGACCCGTGGACGAAGCTCATTACGAATTGTATATTCAGGCGAATGAGCTTGTGAACAGCAACATATATGACAACGACGGAGAAATGTAGATCCGTTTATGAATTATACATGAGAAGTTGTTACATTGGTACGTCAGGCAACATTTAAGTAGTATGAGAAGAGTATGATCAACTGAATGTCATTATTATTGCTTCCCGAAATATGTTTCAGCTGAAATGAAATTATTCATACAATCGTTCATATCCAATTTTATTCGTTTATAATTGGCGTATAAAATTTTAAATAAATGAACTATTAGCTGCTCAAACTGATGTTGTTCAGGATAAATGATCCATGAGACTCGAGAACACCGCATTCCTGAAGCCCGTCATTGAATTTCAGACCAAAGTATTATGCATTAGTGAAAGAAGCATTGGAGTTTTTGCAGTATCCGGTCTTGAATACTAAATTTTGAATCATTAGGTAAGCGTTCTTGGCCATTAGAAACGCGATTGGTTGAACGAGTAATTGCGGTCTACGGAAGGTTGGCGCTAATCCGGTGCGGCCTCCTGCCATAATGTGTTACAGTATTTGTAAGAAACATTGGTAAAGGAGTTAAAATCTTCGAAGTTCGACAAAACGGCCTTAGACTTTGCGGTATCGTCAATTGCGGGGATGGATTGTGTCGATTTAAAGAGATTTGATAGATCAATGAAACACAGTTTTTCGGCCGCCAAGTTGAGTAGCTAAGCCGTGTGGAGGGTGGCCGTTCTTTATACATGCACTGCCAACTCATGAATTTGAGCGGTGCCACAAGCCTGTTTTCTTTCTCATTTTCGTAACTGAGTTTGCTCTTCTGAACGTAGTTTGTGTCATCCGTATCTCACATTTCCTACCAGAAGTCCTATGTTTAGAAGCCTTCACATTGGTATCAAACCTGAAAATTCCGAAGTTTTGACCCAGGCAAGAAACTGACCAATGCGTACTTTTTTGCACGAGTGAATGCACTAACAATTTAAGAAGGAAACTTTTTAAAGCAAATTGGGTATAAACGAACAATATCAACGGCTTCATTCTGCCTTCAGTATAGGCAGAATAAAGCCAGTAGAACGAAAATTTTTGTCAAGATAAACTTATTAAATTACGCATCTTCGGGTACGTCATGAGAACCGCACGGTTTTTATTCAAATCTTGCATTAAGTAGCTTTATCAGGACCCTTTTTTCTCCCATATTAATTAAAAGTACTAAGTATTTTCACGGATCTATCCCTAACATCTTATTTATTGTTTTAATCCTCTACCGCCGTATGTCACTCTCCGGGAACAAAACTTTCAGCTTAAATTATACGTAAACTATTGAGTGAAGCAAACCGGAGGACGTTTGTACGCAACAGAGAACATTTTAAAGTTGCCTCACGTGGCGGCAACCATCAGTGCAAGTCATTTTGCGCTCACTAGAGAGTATCCTTTTTGGGAAGTAGTCAAGTAGGCTTGTATTGCTCCGGTTACTCATGTCAGGCAGTAGAGGGGTAAAAGGGAACTAACAAGAAAATCAGGCATCATTCAATAAAATTGCTAATAGCATCGTCATGTAGGTTCTTAAGCTTATGTCCGGCATCTTCAATAGAAAAAGGATGCGCTTATAGTTACTTGAAAACTTAGATCCATTACCGGATCTAGACCACGCGTTGCCGAAGTGCCTATTTTATTTCTAAATTTTTGTATAGGAGAAAAGCAAGGTATCTAAAAACTGGTTTTGCTCACGAATCTAATACACCTGATGCACGGAGCAAGTGTCATTAACACAACATAATTTTCATATTGCCACAAGGTGAAAAGAATGAATAGATAAAGAAATAAACGAAGAGCTTGAGCTTGATAAGACTTCTTGGACAAGCGAACAGATTTAGAGTAGCGGCATCCTGTGAGATACGATCCTGCGTTTTCCTGCGGCCGCAGGATGCGGGTGCATATCCAGTGTAATAACTGGTAGAGGTCAGCGCGGGCTCCGGCTTGAGCGTGATGAACATGGCTGATAGTTGTAATTATATTGATGACAGTGTATATCATTTAAATTTAATTCTGATCATTTGCCATGTGGACAGAAAATTTTTGAGGAGTTTTGTAGTTGTCGATTTTTAGTTCAAATCGAGAAAAAAAATTAGTGAACATTATTATCGCTCATGTGACTTAGTCGTCTTCTTATATCCACTATGACTAGTAAATAAAAAATTATCTTTGTATTTAATTTCTTTTTGGTGGTTCACAGGTTGTAATTTATTTTATGCTTGAATAATAATCAAGAGTAATAATTTATGAATCTTCTAGGTAAGGCATTTCGAGTCGGGAGATTTTCAAGCTCTCTGGGACTGATTTTTCTGATTGTGTGACTTACGCTTCAGTTTTTGAGTTTGAATCCAGGATGAAGAGGATAGCATGTCTTGCGGCAGCGCTGTTTTCTCTAGTGATATCATTCATATCTGCTGGAGAGGCTTATTCAAGCTTTGAGCTTCTTCGGAAACTGAAAATTACTCCTAATTCAATTGATTTCCATTTGCCATCACGAGAAAGAATAGAAGTAAGCGGCCCCTACGTCACAAACATCGACTATGGTACTGAAAACGCACACAAAGATTTCGACAGGTTGATTGAAAGCGATGTCCTTGAGGCCGTGGCACCTAAAACATTCCGTGCAAAAACTCACCATGGTAGTGCACCGAAAATCTCTGGTCCTAGTGAACTTTACTCACTTGACGCTGAGGAACTCAAACGAAATGGACGACACATCAGCAATTCCAGCTCTTCAAGCCACGATCTACATGACTTCATGCCGTCTGGAACAAATCTGACCCTAGCGACGGCGATGTTGAACTCAAGTCAGACTCAGAATACAAATTGGTCTATCGCCCGGGATGTCGCCTACCCTAACGGGTCCCGCTTTGGAGCTGTCACCAGCCCAAATCAGACCCTCGTATCGGCTCATACTAGACCCCATCTGGCCACAACTCGTCTTGGAATTCCTAGGAGTCAATTTGGTCACGATCGCCCCAGACGGTCGCAGGATTCATGTAATGAACCTGGCTGCCTGCCGCCAGGTAGCGTCGTCAAGTGCAAAAAAAACGATACAGTACCAATCACCGAAAATCGTCCAGTATTTCTTAACGTATTTCCGTACGAATTACAGTTCAGAATCCGGGTAGTCTTGTGGTTTGCTAAAAATGAAAGCATGGATAAAAGAGCAAACAAGACAAAAGCCATCCACATTTTCAGAAATACAATTACTAAAATAAATGACTGGTATCAGATCAAAATTGAGGCTACCACACGTTTTTCAAGTAATAACTGGACGATTATCTCCACGATTGTGAAAGAAAACATTTCCGAACATAATGTAACCAACTACACCCTCGACGACTATCACTTTCATCGGCTAGTGATTTCTATTTCGAAGGGAGACGTGCTTTGGTACGTCGGAGCTGCTCCAAATTGTCCCGCGTTCTACCCACCAAAAGATGACGGGATGCAAGACAAGCTGTCTACTACTACAGGTAGTAGAACTACATTTCACTCCGTAGATTTAGAAATATTGTGACAGGATAATTTTAATTTCGAATACGTGATTATATCGGCATCGGCCGTGTTATATGCAGGAAATCAGTTTATGGTTGATTTGATATCCTAATAATTTCGTATTGATTTACTTTTAACCGTAAAAAGTTGTCAAGTAACCTCTACGCAAATGTGATAGTGACCCAATTAAAAATTGAGCATGGTCCATCGAGGTATAATACCTCTTTTATTTACAGCGCCTGAATAATAAAAGCGTCTTCAAACGTTTTTCAAAATAAAATACAAATGTTTTTGCGTTGCAGACGGCATATGAAATAAATGCTTTTCCTATTCATTTCATTAGCATGAATATGTATGTTTGGAACTCTATCGACCAACCCAACGAAATATTTTAATGGTAAATCATAAGTACCAAATAAATGGTTATCTGGTTCAATACACAACCAATTACCTGAACTCATGCAGGGCGCAGTGTGGCTGCTGGCCCTGAGGGCCCGAGCAGACCATCACACACAGACCCTCAGGGGGAGCAAGCAGACCCTCAGGAGGAGCAAGCAGACCCTCAGGGGGAGCAAGCAGACCCTCAGGAGGCATCGATGCTGCAGCTGGTCTGGCTGCTGCTGCCTGCAGCTTGTCTCTTGATAGCAATTGCTGCAGTCATCATCTTACTGAAGAGGAGAAAAAGTAATTAAATGAAACTTTTGGAATATATTAGGAAGCAGTCGTTCGAAGTTAATGCAATTTTTTATATACGATAGAATTTAAAAAAAGTTCAAGTTTGTGTAAAGCCTTAGGTTAATTCTGTAATAATGTTAATTAAGACAAAATTACCCCAAAATCATCAGATCCAAACTTAGTTTAATAAACACATATTGAAAACAATAATGGGAGAGGAGCAATTGAACTTACCTTTCAATTTTTTACTGTTGAAAATCCGAGGAAATTATAATAGGGAGAAGAAAAATTTGCAAAAGGCATTTTCGAAATTAGTGTGACAATGAATCACTGCTCTCAAAGAGTCAGCAGTTTTTTTTTTCAAAGATATCTCTTGTCTATCATTTGTCTCATTAAAAGTCAAAAGTCTCATTTTAGGGCTACATTCGCTGAAAAATTGCCTTATTTATTCCAAGATTCCAGTTTAACTAAATGAATCAAGATTTTAACACTTTTCGCGAACAATACTAAATCCTCGAAAATGAATCTTATCCATTACCTGGTAATAAACATTAATGATGTATCTCAAAATTCCAGATAAAAAATCAACGCATGGAACATCGGGAGGAATAAGAAATGAAGGCTCCAATGCACCTCTGAGTGACAGCCCTAGTGAAAAGAGAAGACAAACGCAAATAACTCGTCAAATGTCCGTCAACAGCCTTTATTATCAAGAAAGCCCGAACCAAGTCACGAGTCAAACAGTTGTCAATAACCTTCCTGTTCACGAAGCTAAAACCCAAATAACTCGTCAAATGTCCGTTAACAGCCTTTATTACCAAGAAGGCCCGAACCAAGTCACGAGTCAAACAGTTGTCGATAACCTTCCTGTTCACGAAACTAAAACTCAAATAACTCGTCAAATGTCCGTCAACAGCCTCTACTACCAGGAAGAACCGATCTAATTAAATCACGAATTGATCTCATGTCAACAGCCTTCCTTTTCAAGAAGGTAAAGCTCAAATAACTCGTCTACAGCGTCTATGTTAAGATATCCGTTATCCGGAAGAGCATCAGAAAAATAAAACGAAAGCGTTGTCGGAAAAATGCTTTTATCGAAATCTTTGGCCAAGTAGAACTTAACTATGACTAAACTGGGGCAGTGGAAGAAGCTCGAGCTACGAATTGTATCCTTAATTAAAACAATGATAATCTGTGAAGTAGCTTAGATGGGAGCTGAGGCCACAAGCAGATGTGGCCTGATGTTATACGAAATGCTGCGATTGAGGCGTTCCAGGTTGTTGGCCTTTTTTTATATTCTGGACATGACCATTGACCAATTATGTAATTTTAATTAAGACTGTTACATATTTTTGTTATAATTATGTGAAACTTGCAACTGAGATGATTTATTCAATATATTAATTCAAATACGATTTTAGTTAAAAATAATATCTTCCTTTCATTATTTTCTATAGTAATAAACTTGCAAGAAGTTCGGTCAAATTCGTACTGCCTGCTTTTCATGGATTTATTTTCACCAATTATAAGATATTTTGCTGACGACTAGTACAGGGTCCGCCAAAAAACCTCCCTGATTTCAATTAGCTTTTGCAAAAATCATACGACACATACAAAACAATTAATTTCATTTGTAAATAGCTTATTTAATGCCATTTTACATCACTTGGTGCACTTTGCTTGTTTTTGAAAATTATGTTCGATAAATGATTTCCCCCATTGTTAAGACATTCAATAAGTCTTTCCCTGAAGTTGCCCATAGTTCTTCGTGTAACTTCCCTTGGTATGGCTGCCACTTCCTGCCTAATGGCATGTTTTAGTTCTTGCAGATTTCTGGGACGATGTTTTACACTTCAGCCTTTAGTTTAGGTAGCCCCACAGAAAAAAATCGCAAGGTGATAGGTCGGGTGACCGTGGGGGCCAGGAAATATCTCCTCTTAAAGAAGCAAGACGTCCAACGAACAACTCTCTTAACATTTCCATGGACCGGCGAGCAGTGTGAGCAGTGTGAGTCTTTCTGTGGGGCTACCTAAAGGCTGAAGTGTACAAACATCGTCCCAGAAATCTGCAAGAACTAAAACATGCCATTAGGCAGGAAGTGGCAGCCATTCCAAGGGAAGTTACACGAAGAACTATGGGCAACTTCAGGGAAAGACTTCGTGAATGTCTTAACAATGGGGGACATTATTTGTCGAACATAATTTTCATAACCAAGTAAAGTGTACTAAGTGATATAAAATGGCATTAAATAAACTATTCACAAATAAAGTAATTGTTTTGTATGTGTCGTATGATTTTTGCAAAAGCCTATTGAAATCAGGGAGGTTTTTTTGGTGGACCCTGTATAAAATTGAAATGCCGTTCACAAATTTTGCTTGAATTTCAACCTGAAGGGCAGAAGCTGTCTGCCACTCGTAACTACATTGTTTCGCCTGCTAATGAATGCAAATCCAGCAACAGCAATCAACTTAATATAATATGTGAATATAATATGAATGAATTTGAGTGAATAAATTTTCATTAATTGTTTGACTTTTTATTTACGGATTAAATTTTCATTTATTGGTCAAATTTTTGGCGATTAATAAAATTTTCATAAATTGATTAAATGTTCATTAATTGATCAAATTTTCATTCCTTGATTAAATTTTCATTGATTGCCTAAATTTTCCTTGATTGATTGAAATTTCCTTAATGGATTACTTTCACATTTATTGACTAAATTTTCATTATTGATCAAATTTTCATTATTGATCAAATTTTCATTTATTGATTAAATTTTCATTGATTGATTAAATTTTCATTGATTGATTAAATTTTCATTGATTGATTAAATTTTCATTGATTGATTCGATTTTCATTATTTGATTAAATTTTCATTAAATGATCAAATATTCAATTATTGATTAAGTTTCCTTTGATTTCATTACATTTTCACTAATTGATTATATTTTCATTAATTGATAAAATTTTCATTAATTAATAAAATTTTCAATAAATGATTGAATTTTCATTACTTGATTACATTTGAAATGATTGATTAAATTTTCATTAATTGGTTAAATTTTCCTTTATCGGTTAAATTTTTATTGACAGAATAAAATTTCATTATTTGATTAAATTTTCATTAATTGATAAAATTTTCATTAATTGATAAAATTTGTATTATTTGATTAAATTTTCATTGATCAATCAAATTTTCATTAATTGATTATATTTCCATTAATTGATCGAATTTTCAATTATTGATTAAATTTCCATTGATTGAATAAATTTTCAATAATTAATGAAATTTCCATTAATTGATTAATTTTCAAATGACTGAATAAATTGTAATTAAATGATTAAATGTTAGTTAGATGATTTAATTTTAATTAATTGATTACATTTTCATAAACTGACTTCATGTAAATTCAGTTGCAAAAACTAAGTAAATATACGCCAAATTTCTAATTTAATTGAATTATGTAACGACCTGTGGCGTATTTTATACTAGTAGAAGTAAAAATTCTGTATAATGGTAAGGAAACACTCAAGTAAATTCATGCATACAAAATTGATTGATCTTATGTTATTTTTGCTTGCATATCACGTAAGCGCTGCTATATGCGCAGGGGTAACAACATCGAGATAAGTGAAGCTAACCGGGGGTTCGAACCCTGGGAGCTGCATTTTTTTTCGGTGTCGCTAATGGGCGGCGCTTGGTTGCCGTCAAAGGTGGTGCACTCGCACTCCTCCAAAGAAGCAGTGAACTCGTGGAGCCACGTTTCTACGACACTCATCATTAGCCCCACTATAATGGGCCACTGATGCGTATAACTATAGACAAATCATCAGTTTTGAAAACAATTCTGCCTATATGAAGAGCCTAGAATGTATTTGTGTAAGGCCACTAGACAGCCGGGGAATAATCTAGTCCTCACGAAGCTGGCTCACGCTACAATCATTTTTTAAATACTTCGAGTTCTACACCACCAATTATGGGAACGATTGGCCCAGGATGTAATGTCGTTTACCATAATCGTTGCATCGGCGAATTAGTTCACATAGTATGGGTTCCCTGTTGTACCAACACTGACCCCACCTTCGAATGGAATTGAATAATACATTTTCCCGAAACAGCGTAGCTTCTAACAATTTTGTTGTACCACGTAATCGGCAAAAAAAATACAATGACAAGTCTAGACCATTTTATTAGTTCAACAGCCCCGGCCAAGAAGTCTGCACTAGTATATCATGGTTGAACTCGTTGTCAATACTCGTTGTCAATACTCAACCTTATTACAAAGTAATTAGGGTGATCCATTAGAAGCTCATTCTCGCGGATGAGGTTTTTGTTCGCCTGTGACGTCACTGATCTCAGTGACGTTACGGGATTAACCATTCACCGAAATGCGATTAAATCAGTCAACCAATCCGCCATGGGAATGATGGGATTGTTTGTGTTTCTCGATCGCATTGACTTAACAAGAAAGCTGAACTGAAAGACGGAAATCCCCATGGGTCAACTTTATATAGTTCAACTATGAATAGTATGGTCTGCGTCTTCCGCCAGCGAATGAAAGTATGTTATACCAACCAGGCAAATGGTGTGCAACAACACTTGCCCTTCCACAGGCCCATTTCGACTGCACGAAGTACTTCAAAAGTTATACCCAAACAGAAACAATTTATTTGAACCGGAACATGTGGCACATCGGCATTAATAAAGTGTACAATTGTACTCTTTATTAACGCAATTTAATATTTTATTATTCATTTTGAATTTAATATAAACGACAAACTTGATGCCAATCATAACAGTCCTATGCGGGCGATCTTATCATCTCCTGTCAAGTGACCGAGTTAGTGACCTTAGATATTAGTAAATATCTTTACTATTTTTAGATATTTACTGACATTCTACAATAAATATGGCGGGGCGTTGCATCGATCGTAAATTACAGTTTCGTATCGTGGCTATAACACTCATGTCTCAGCTGCAGAGGTGGAAACAATTGTTTTACGTTAGTACTGTCGCTAGCCGCTTCAGTACGTACCAATAGAAGCCACGTTATGATCCTTTAATCACCAGTAACACTTTTTTCTCTATTTTTAAATTAAAATAACTGAATCTAGCGGATGATTGAGTATGATCTAATAATTTTACCTACCAATAAAATTAGGGACTCACAACTAAAGTTGAAAAGAAGAACCGTGGATAGTCGGCGATGCCCATAAATGAGTAGAACACACTGAAAGAAAATTGACGGGTATGGATGACCCATATAGATGAGTCCAAATATCGACTCATTGGTGGCGTCATATCGCTTTTGAAGCTATAAATGAGAGTCATACATGAAATCTAAAGTGCCAGTAATAGGTCAACATGACCCACAAATGGGCAAGTAAGCCAAAAAAGTGCATCGCTATTCGGACGCGGTTGACTTATCTATATGGGTTATCTAGACTCACAAATTTCTTTCAATGCTCTGTCTACCTTTACTGTTGGTGCCTTCTAACAATTAATTAAATGCCTGGTGATGACATGCCAAAAATATGTTTAAATGTTAGAAAAAATTATAAATAATGTAAAAATGCATCGAAGTTGGAAGAGACAAGGTTTAGTGGTTGTAAATATTTCAAAAATCAATTGAATCAATCAAAAAAAGCAAATGATGTAAAAATGCAGCGAAGTTGTTAGAAACAAGGTTTAGTGGTTGTAAATATTCCAAAAATCAATTGAATCAATCAAAAATCAAATGATGTAAAAATGCATCAAAGTTGTTAGAAACAAGGTTTAATGGTTGTAAATATTTCAAAAATCAATTAAATTTCATGCAAAACGCAGGAATACATCTCGAGAATGCCCAAAAAGTAAATGGGAGAATAATGTAAAATTAAAGGTAAATGAATGGAATATGAACAGAAAATTGATGCGTTTTTCAATAGGACTCGCATACACTAACGTTTAATCTACATCCTACTCCCGCTTAGGAATTTATGGGAAAATTAAATTTGTGCGTTCATGGGATAAAGTGAAATTACTAAATGAGAAGCAGCATTTCCAAATTCACCAAACACAAACACAATATGTATCTTGGATACGAGTCCCAACAGCCCCTATATGTTTATTGTTCTTGACAAAAGAATCGCCAACTTTGTCTAAGTCGCCAAATCTGAAAGTGACTTTTTTTAAATAACGAAGAAAAGATTTTTAGTTATATTGTGATGAATTCGAAATTGTCTTACTTCTGGATTATGATAGCCTCGACATTATGATGGATTCGAAATTATTTTGCTTAAAGTTACATCGTTATCTCAGTTATAATCGTATAAATAATCGTTATCTCAGTTATCATTGTTAGGGAATAGTAAACATTTATTAATATTTCGTAGTAACAACTTTTCTATTTTCATTTAGAGCTTTCCATACTTTAGGTTGTGCTAACATCCGGATTCATTCATTCATGTTTTAGACTTAGCTGGAGTGGACGGTACGGCACAACGCAATTGTAAATACGTGTTTTACCAAATATATTGTGAATAAACAGTGTCTTATATGTACTGAAAACCTATCCTGACCGTTTGAGAAATGATTAAGAAGTAGTCCCCCAGCATTATTGGTGCCGTGACCTCAAGGTAATAGTGTCAGTGTAACTTTGTCCCTATTTTGTATATCGGCCTGCCCTCCATCGTGCTGTGATTAACTGTTCTTCTATCATGGCCGAGCCTACCGTACTTGAAAGAGACGTACCTGTATGTACGCGAGAGCAGGAAGATTTTATAGCCGAGAACTTTGAATACATGAGCACGTTCCTAGAGAATTTAAAAGTCAATCAGAATGACCTTTCGACACGGATTGAAGTGAATTTTAAGAATTTTACGAAGAAAGTGTCAGCCTTATAGATTTTTTGCCCGTGTGCACAGCTCTTGCACCTGTCAAGAATTTTCTAGCACAGCACGAGCCCCTGAAAATGTCAGCAGAAAGGCCGCGTCAAGTTTTCCGAAAACCTCAGTTGGTGCCTCTCAATGAGCATGGCCGCTCTCGACCGTTCGACACAGATCCTGAGTATCTGCATGTGGACCAGCAAACTAGTGAAGATGTCATCTGCAACTACTGTCATCGTGTTGGACACGTGAGTCTCAATTGTCGTTCGCGTCTCGGACTGTGCTTCGTTTGTGGAGGCAGTGGACATTTCATCCGAAGCTGCCCGCAACGTCGAAAGATTCATCGGTACGGAGAGCCAACATCTAGTATTGCTGAACCATTTCAGGTATGCAATCAATCGCGGGATTCAAGACGTATAAGAGATGCACCGAGTAAGCTTGCTTCATTTAGAAATCAGCATTTAGCTCCCGATAATAATGATCATGTACTTGAAAACGGTTTAAAGATGACTGATTCAGAAGTGTCAGCGTTCAATCGCGTGAACAATTTTAATGTGTACACTTTGACTGTTGAAACTTTATCGGATAGCGAGTGTAAAGATTCTGGTATTGCAGCTGATATAAATGTTTCTAGAAATTTCGATGATAATCATGCTGACGATAACTGTCCTGTAATTCCTGATACAACGTGCATTTTAGATTTGAGAGAGAAATTTTATGACCTGAAAGCTAGATTTTTCTTGCAACAAACGTTGTCGAATACATCTCGCACAGAAATCAATGATAGTTCCTCTAGCAGCAAGACCCTTGATTGGAGCTTTGAACAGTTGGAAGTAAAGGAAAATACGAGTGATCTGGTCCAACGAAGCTCGGAGCCCGTGCATGAAGCGTTTATTTCTCCGCCTGAATTGTCGAGTCAAACCTCGCCTATTCATACTGGTCAGGATTGTTCATCTGGTCATGTTAATGATAGTTTCTTATTGTGGTTAGAACAGGCTTTGATGGTACAGGAGGATTTTGTACAACGCATTGCAACTCTTTCGCGATTGCTGAATGATGGGTGGCTTGAAGACGTCTCTGATGTGCTTGAGATGAACGAGTCTCCTGATAAGAAAGTCCGTATGGGTATAATTCAAACTATGCTTGAACATTTAGGCTACGTGAGATCAGGTATCAGAGATTACAAAGCATGTGTTGATAGAAATCATTTATGGCACCGGCGTTTTGAGAGCTCTAATCCGAATAGGAACTGTGACTTCGAAGTAGAGGCGTCTGATATGGTGCCTGACCCAGTCGTTGTGAAGATGTAAATCTCTAGATGTACCCGATCACAAGATACTGCTCCTGAATACTCGAATATACATAAAACTAAAGAATACGATACTAAGAATTGGTAATTAAGGACCTGGCGTTGTTGTTGTGGAATGTTGTTGTAAAGGAATGTTATTTGTGAATATTGCTGACAATTTAGGCCAATTCCATTGTAATAATGTTAAGTCTTACAGCCCATTTGGATTTGCGTAAGCATTCTGAATGATATTGTCAGTTTCATTGTACTTAGTTTGCCGTGCTTGCTAAGCGTGATATGTAGCCTTATAGTAGAATATAAATATGTTCGTTCCGGCGCGATATAGAAAATGTTTACGGAAAGTGATAAATGCCCTATGTTGTAAAGTAAATTTTGTACTATACAATAGATTTAATATTGTACAAAAAAATTATCCTTGCACACTGCGCAATATTTTCGTGTTATCGTCAGTAGGGATTTTAGAGATGTACAGTTTGGAACACGTGTTCATAGCAGTGTGAATTGCTTAATGTATAATTAGGGCATTTCAGTCGTGTTCTTCTGCGTTTGATTTTTAAAAGCCGTCTTTTTCGGGATGTACTTGTGTAATATGTTTGTAAATTTTGTAAATATCTTAAGTTCCGAAGTTTCAGTATTTCAAGTGCAATATTAGCAATTGCACTTAGTGGTGGGCAATGTTAGGGAATAGTATACATTTATTAATATTTCGTAGTAACAACTTTTCTATTTTCATTTAGAGCTTTCCATACTTTAGGTTATGCTAACATCCGGGATTCATTCATTCATGTTTTAGACTTAGCTTGAGTGGATGGTACGGCACAACGCAATTGTAAATACGTGTTTTACCAAATATATTGTGAATAACCAGTGTCTTATATGTACTGAAAACCTATCCTGACCGTTTGAGAAATGATTAAGAAGTAGTCCCCCAGCATTATCTTTCATTTCATGTAACAATATGTTCAAACTATTCCATCCCATAGAGCCTTTCAGTAGTTGTGACTTGAGTAAAAATATGAATAGACCAGTTACACTCACATAGATCGCACATAATGCAACGGGTCATCACGCCAAACGAGGTCGCTCACTTCAATGTGCACTGCATTAAAGTTTCTTATCGCTTCATCTTAAATTTTTATGTTTCTATTAAATTAAATGTAAAGTCAATCATTCCAATGAGTTGGTTTTAAGTTGGCCAGATTTGCGGAGCAGCATGTAAGCCGGCTGGTATATAAAGCCTGTAGCGGGGCTCGGGTCACAGTCGCATCCACGTCTCTGTAGCGCACGGATTTCGCCCTGAGCTCTGCGGTGTCTTTGGTGCTTGGCAGCTGAACATTATCGCATTTAACGAGGTAAGGAATGAATACTATCTTTAAAATATGAAGGAATAATTGAAGCAATGAAAAAAACTTGCATGTATCGTAGAGCTTACATCTTTCATGAAATAAGATCTGTGAATATCTTTTTCGATCAACTTAAATAAAATATACGTGCATTATTTTTCAACGCTGAATTAGTGAATTGTGAGTTAAATGCAATACCGTAGACGTAGAGGATAATAAATTACACACAACAAAAATTACCTTAAAATGCATATATTGATATGAAAGAATATGATCCATAATTATCATTGAATGAATTCAAATAATTTTAATTCTCTAATTATTAAAATGCAATATTCTTTAATCTAAAAGTGTTCAAGGCTCAGCAAATATCAGAGTACAAGAAGAAATATTGCACCACAAATTATTAAATGTGCCGACCACATATATAAATATATATATATCATATATTAAATTAGATACTTGCAAAAAGATAGCATTATTTTATTTCGACACTTTTGGAAATATTTGTCAAAGCTGCTATATCCTTGCACATCCAAACTAGAAGGGAAAATCAGAATCCGGGAAACAATTGTCAGTATTTAGAAAAAAATGCACATAACTTTAACTGGAGTATTTGTTTAAATCTAACGAAGAACTTTTCTACGTTAGATTTAAATAAAGAACTTTTTGAGTTCTTTTTTTGCCATGTTATCAAGAACTTTTCTTGATAACATGGCACTAGACTAGGCCAGCATATGCTCGCTAGAGCTACATCAAATAGTGGAAGCGTTCAATGACATGAAGAATTAATCCACTCATTTGCACCAAGAGATAAACGTTAAGAACTTGCCTTTGAATTCAACTGTATTGAATTCAAGGGAATTCAACATCGAGCATCCGTTAAAAATATCTGAGAAATTAATCCATTCAATGAAGAAAGTTGCAGTATGAGTTAAAGCGCTGAAGTCATCGAAAGAATTCCAAGGCCACTCGCAAGTTTTGGAAAAAGTCTGAAAACTTTAGTAGGTCACAAATTGTGTATATTATAAAAATAAATGAAAGATTAGAGTAATTATTTACTAAAATTTTTGGAAAATATTTATTCATTAAGTAATCTAAAAACGAGTTTTCAGAAGAAAAATTAAACTACTTGAGCATTATTCACTCTGAATCATTAGATGAATTTATTTATGAGTAATGGTTAATAAAGTCAAAATAATGACATAGGTTGACGAGCAGTGTGGGCACGAAACTAAAACTGAAAGTAAATTAAATGTTAAACTCGTTTACCGTAGACTTTCAGGCAGAACTGACCTTAACTAATTCTTCGACTCATTTTCCCGTGTTAAAAAAAGCATGCAAACTTGGTAATTTAGTTAACAGAAAACCCGGTGGCGAACAACGGGTTAGCTTTTCTGTTAGATAAATATGTTGCGAGACGCATTGTTTTTAAGTAAAATTATTCAAGTTTGTAATGCTTTTATATACCATGAATCCAGTAGAGCATGAATTCGAGAAAGTTTCTTTGGCGTCAATTCATCCCATGTTTTTACTATGAATTTTTGTGTTGTACACAACATCCTGGCGCAGTAAATTAATTTACTCAAAGAAATGTACGCTTAGTCGCACGTTTAATCGTACGTTTTCAATCCCAATTAAAGAAAATAATACATTTTAGTTATCATTTTGCGGCGAACATCCATTCTAAGTATCCGAAGCAGTTTGCAGTTCAAAAAATGCTTCATGTTACGCTAATGTTATCTTCAGCTACTGTAGAGAAAATCGAACAATAATTGACTGCATTGATCATTATATAGGAAGCCAAAGAAACAAATATGGGTCATATAGATGACGTCATTTTTCGTAGCTTTTCATTTTCAACGAAAGGCTTATATTTCGTATTGGGATCTCTTCATTTTCAACTGAAGCCTCTTCATTTTCAATGAAAGCCCCATATTTCTCAATGGGACCTCTTCATTTTCAACTGAAGCCTGTTCACTTTCAACGGAACCCCTCCTAATTTTCAACGAATGCCTCTTCATTTTCAACGAATGCCTCTTAATTTACAACGGAAGCCCTTTTCATTTCAACAGAAGAAACTCGACTTTCAAAGGAAGCCTCTTCATTTTCAACGGAGTAAATGACATGAGGTAGAAGCATCATATTCTCCGGAGGGAAGAGGCTGTCCCAGGCGACTTAAATTGAATTATCTCCGCAAGATCTGCGTAATAAGGATGACCAAATTTAACTGAATCAGGGAGTCTTGGTATGATTTATGCAATAAGGATTATTAACAGCGTCAGCGTAAGTCCTGGTTGAGAGGAATTTTTTAAAAACTATGATTTAGTTTTCTCAAATTTTCATTGTGTAAAATTTTATAATTGGAGTATCGAAAAAAAATAATAACTCAGTACTCACTGCAGCGAGTGACAGAGAGCGCATTTTCTCGTCGACTAAAACGTGGTCACGGACAGACGAACAGACAGACGGACGGACAGACGGACGGACAGACGGACGGATATGACGAGCACAATAGCGCCTTTTTTCCATAAATGAGAAAATGCGCTAAAATGAAGTTGATAGCATAACTTTTCGAATAAATTGTCAGGAAATGCAGCTCTCATTCATTTGAATTTCTTACACCAACGAAATTATAATTAAAATATCAGAACTTGAGTCTTTCGGTGTTACACCAAAATATGTTAAACCAACCTAAGTCATATACACGCAAAATAATTTCCGGTATATTAAATGAAAAACGCGCAATCTTATTTTGGAATACCTTGCTTTAATAGAGCGAAAGTGAATACCCAGTTAACAAAGCCTGAAAACGCAATGTATTCCATTTAGCGTTGTCTGTGTTGCTGCGACAAAAATAGAACCATTCATGATTTTCTATCATTCAAATAATAGTAATTTATATATACTATTGCTTACGAAGTATGATCATTTGCACACTTCAAATTCTACAGTAAATATTTTTCGATGTTAATAATGCACTTTACTAATTTTATATGTGTCGTGCCAAAATCGCGAAATTGTTGATTCCATGGAATCAGCAGCCAGTTTGCCGAATCTGTAGAAGCAGCATTTCTATACTATAGGAATCTGGGGTTAGGTCAGTTAGTCAAGTTCTTTTTTTAATATTTAAATATAAAGGAACAAGCCCTAACCTTTTCTAACTCTATCTGTCAATTTATCTTCAAACTCTAACGTTCGATTTTCTAAATTAGCAACGAAACGCTGATTCCTCAGATTCGGCAAACTGGCTGCCGATTTGATAGAATCGCTAATTCCGCGATTTCGGCACGACATATGCATTCCATCAGTGCTAAGAACACTTTTTCACCACCGCTCATTTTTTCTTAGCCACATATTTCCTAAGCCATTTCTTATGGACGTAATTCAAACATTTTGGACAGACACCGGGATTCCTTCTGAGCCTATACAGACGCTAGTGGCTGCCCTTCATCTAAAAATATTTATTTCACTTGACGTTGACGAGAGCCCCTATATTATTTAGGAAGACTCTGCGTTTAAATATTATTCGACATTTGAAATCTGTGAGGAACGATCTGTGTGTGAACAATCTGTGAGGATATTGGGAAAAGGTGGAGTCCTTACATATACTTTTTTATTAATTTCGTACAAGTGTCAGAGACAACGAGACGTTGGATCAGCGAATCAAATCTAGTGGATTCTTGAGGACGTATCATTAAAATAATATAATATCTGCAGCTTCAAGTTGTAGAAGGGTAAACGAGAAGCCCTCAGTCCTAAAGCAACAGAAGGCGAGCCTGAAGCGATCAGTTCTAAAGCAATAGAAGGCGAGCCCTGAAGTGTTCAGTTTTTAGCAACAAAAAGCGAGCCTGAAGCATTCAGTTCTAAAGGCAACAGAGGGCGAGCCTGAAGCCCTCAGCTCTAAAGCAACAGAGGGCGAGCCTGAAGCCCTTAGTTCTAAAGCAACAGAGGGAGAGCCTGAAGCCCTCAGTTCTAAAAGCAACAGAGGGTGAGCCTGAAGCCCTCAGTTCTAAAAGCAACAGAAGGCGAGCTTGAAACCCTCAGTTCTAAAAGCAACAGAGGGCAAGCCTGAAGCCCTCAGTTATAAAGCAACAGAGGACGAGCCTGAAGCCCTCAGTTTTAAAGCAACAGATGACGAGCCATGAAGCCCTCAGTTCTAAAGCAACAGAGGGCGAGCCCGAAGCCCTCAGTTCTAAAGCAAGAGAGGACGAGCCTGAAGCCCTCAGTTCTAATGCAACAGAGGGCGAGCCTGAAGCCCTCAGTTCTAAAGCAAGAGAGGACGAGCCTGAAGCCCTCAGTTCTAAAGCAACAGAGTGTAGTGCGTGCGTGTAGTAGCCTTCAGTTCGGGATTTTTTTAGTAGTGAACCGCAGTTGTCGCCCGCAGCTCACCGCCCGTCGTGCCATCGAAACAATGGCAGCGAAAAACGAGGAAAAAATCGCCCCGAAAATGACAAGTCTGTAACCGACTGAGAAACTTAACCTCAGCCTTAAGAAATTGCTCGATATGCAAGCTGGGTTGTATCATGTAAAGTATATTGCTCGATTTTCTTGACGTGTTTTTACTCCTAAAATTAAGCTGCTCAACTCCCAATAACATAAATAACACTTGTAAACAGAGTTGTTCACTTTTCAAAAGGTTTCATTATTAAAAATTAATTTCACTACTATTAAAAAATACAAATTGCGCCAACTTTTTCCTCAAATTTGTATAACTTTATAAGGGCGGGTTTCAAACCTGGTAAAAAATATCCAGACCTCTGCGTAAAAATTTGTAACAAATATTTCCACTGTTTTATGATAAACTTAGATTGTTGGAAGCAATTTTCTGACGGAACATGACCGAATTTCGTCATAACCTATCAAAATACATGGAGCGCAACAAAATCAATGAGATCAAAATTATTTTAAAATCAATCAAAATTATTTTAAATAAGTTTATTTATTTAGCGTGTTTTTTTTTTAAATCATGGTATGAAGTAATGTAGTGTTCAGTATATTTATGCCTG